TGGTTCTCTTCTCAAAGTAGTATAGACAATAGACAATGTTTGTTACTCTAACTTCATATAAGAAGACCAGAAGACTAGATGAAATTTTCTTAAACATGAATTGGAGGAAGAAAAGTGATGGAATAGGACCATTTGCGGACCCATTAGAAACCCATACTCCGAAATCTTTCATATGTAGAGAACTAGAGATAACTTATAATTAAAATGCTTTTTAAGATTCTACCTCCAGCATCGAACACTCTGCACACAATCATCGGAATTGTAGAAAAGAAAAAAGGAAATGAGATGCAGAGGGGGAAGAAGGTGCATGATTTACTCAAATTTCAAAGCACGCCAATTAGTAATGCATTCTACGCAGGGGAGGATAGCATGCACTCCGGATCTGCTATCCACAAATTGTTCTTACATCTTTATCCCTAGAGTACCACCACTCTGAATTGAGAACATTCTATGAATGATAAGAGAAATATTTCCAATGTGCAGTTGTAGTGTCTCGTGAATAGAATTGTGGGAATTGCTAGTGGGCAGTAGATCCTAACCCACGTGCATGTGGCAAGCACCTCTTGCCCTAAGTACTCTTGGGCTTGCCTGTCTGGCTATCCATGGTCTCAATGAATAGGAGATTTCATTTCCTAATTCAAAGTAGCTGGAAGATGTTAGCTGTGTGGAGTGCTGTATAATTAACGATAATACACAACAGTGAGGTTCTATGCATTTTATGACTGGTGTGGAAGGTCATTATTGGTTTTATATTCCCAATAATTAGGGGTGGGTTCGAGCCGAGACGAGCCAAATAGTACGAGGTTCAAGCTCAGCTTGCCAAGGTAGTACGAGGCTCGAGCTCAAGCTCAAGCTCGGTTCGAGATAGAATCTTAAGCTCAAGTCAGAAACTCGTAAACTCGAACTCGACTTGAGAAAAAATGTTTTATAAAAATAAAATATTTTTATTTGATATTTAAAAAATGAAGAATTATAATAATTAGTTTTTATTATATATAAAAATAAAAATATTATATATAATAGTTTTATTATATTTATTGTTTTCCATTATTATTATTATTATTATTATTATTATTATTATTATTATTATTATTATTATTATTATTATTATTATAATTATATGTATGCATGTATGTATGTATGTATGTATGTATGTATGTATGTATGTATGTATGTATGTATGTATGTATGTATNATGCATGTATGTATGTATGTATGTATGTATGTATGTATGTATGTATGTATGTATGTATGTATGTATGTATGTATGTATGTATGTATGTATGTATGTATATGTAGCTATTCGAGCTCGGCTCGCAAGCCTCACGAGCCAAGCTCTATTAGGCTCGAAGCTCGTTGAAACTGATATGGGTTAGAATAGCTCATGAAAAACTCAACTCGTGGCCACTCCTATGAATAATTATTATATTCAGTTAGTCTTATCTCCACATTTACTACCACTGTAGTTGAGGCTCAGTTTGGAAAGGGTATGAATACAAATATGTAGAGTACAAAACCTTATATTTTGCATTATTTTTTATGTATTTGTACTCTTTCCAAATTAAGCATGGGCTGTGTTTGGATGCAATGCAATTTTATTTGCACTAGTATAGATGCATGAGAGTGCAAATGAAGAAAATACAAATTCCCATTTAATTTTGTTTTGGATTTTACTTTATACTACTTTATGTCTTAGTTTACCTGCAATCAAACAAAATAAGTTAAAATTTGAAACAAAAATAAATCAAAATTTACAATCAAACCATTTGCACTGCCATAGTTTAGCATCAGTTGCATTACAACCATACACAGCCTGAGGGACAATCTAAAGACCATTAAATAAAATGTGAACACATATTTTAAAAGAAAAAAAAAAACAAAATATGTGTTTAATATTCAACACTTGCTTGTTCACATTTTCATTTGATGTTGCATGCGAGTACAATTATAGGAAACCTTTTATCAAAAGACAAATACAATTTGACCATTATTGAGATACCGGAAAGGGTTGGCTATTTCTTTAAACAGAGCTTGTGTTAATGAACATATGGGCCAACGGTGTCCCAGTCAAGTCCACATAAATCTTAACTGTCTAGTGTATACTGCATGGGATACCTGTCACAGACGAGTCCGGATTTTCTACCTCCGACAATTCTATTCACATTTATCAATATAACATCTCAATCACACATGAATAACATCTCATTCTCTTATATATTATTATTTATGAATTTAGATCTGTGCCTCAGGGCACCCCATAATGTCCCACAGTATATTCCCGTCTTATAATGGAAACATCTCTCAATGATGACACCATCGGTTCTGGTATTATCATCGGGAGATGTTCCCAATACACGACGAAGATGTGCTGTGGGACAATGTGAGATGCCCCCTTGTGAGATGCAGATGTAAATTCATTATTTACGGGAGATCTTCCCAATGTACATAAGTAATGTTTTGTAGGTAGACATAAATAGAGTTCTTGTAGGTAGGAGATTTAAAGTCATCAAAGACAGTTCAAATTTGAACCCATCATTGACCTACGGGTTAGACCGGCGACATAGTGATCCAATTATGATCCCAGATTCGATCAACATCTAACCCGCTGTCAACAGATATAAAAAGTATATAATATATATTCATATTAATAAATATATCGGACTCGGATTTTTATCGGATCGGATGGGGTGAATCCGAGTTTGATCTAATTTTTAATCGGATTCTATTTCTATCATCCAAATCCGATCCGATATGACATTTACCCATCCAAATTTGAGATTGTCGAATCGGGCCGCTGGTTTACGGGTATCGTTGACAGGCCTACATGGCACTGGCCGAGGTGCCCGTCGCCCAAGGTTCTATGGTGGCTTGTTTCGTTTTCTTTTGTGAAGGCTCTGTCCTTTGGCCATGTGTCCCTCATCATTTGGGGTTCTCAGTTAGCTATGCGACTGTTACTCCGCTCTTGATGTTGATCCAGTTTGATGACATGGCCAAATCGACGCTTGGGTTGCACCACATCATGTTTAAGGTTGCGATCCAACTGGGCCAGGTACGGCCCCGTCATATTCAAAATTAGATCAATAATTGAGAAATTTGTTTGAAAAAGAGAAGTATCAATCAATTTAAAGCGACATGGATTCTGGAATGGTGATTACCAACCACTTAGGAAATATCCTTTAACCGAAAGATTTTCTTCTTTTAACCTCTCAGTTTCACCTTTGAAAAAGACAGAAAGAGAATGCAAGCTTGGAGCCTTGGATCGCAACCTCTCAGTTAAGGGCAAATTTGCCTTTTACTTTTATTTTTATTCTAAAAAGGATATAAGATGCAAACAGATTGAATCGGATTAGAATTGGGGTATATCCAAATTAGATCCCCTAAATCGAACTAATGCAATATCTATCATAAACAGCGATTCAAATCTAATTTTGTTAAGAATATTGGATATCCAAATTCGATCCAATCTGATTAAATTCTGAAAAATATAATAAATTATTAAAAAAACATAAAACAGTTTATATAAAGAGAAATATATATATATATATATATATATATATATATATGTGTGTGTGTGTGTGTCAGTGTGTGTGTGAGGTCCTAATTGGATTTAATTTTCAATCAAAATCGATCATATCATGATGTGATTTATTTGCACCCTTAGCTAGAAAATTGGAGTAGCCCATCCACAAAGCACATAACCCCCAAACCTAGGTGAAGGCGGGATTCAATCCCAAGTCACAGAATGTGTTTAAATAGTTAACCTTTTCTGGAGTTAACAATATAAGTAATTTTGGAAAGTGACTACAAAAATGTACTTAATGGTCTTTAAAATAAGAATGCTGATCGGGAAAAAAGTACTTTGCAAATTAGAGCTTTGCATATGAGTAACTTTGTTGAGCTTTCAATTCCCACTTTAAAAATTAATTTAGAAAGGTTTTCATTCCCTTTTTTAATCAACTTATTAGATTCTATAAAATCTAAGTATGTCAGAAAAATTATTTGGTGCCAAAATTTTTAATTTTCCTTTTTTAATAAGCAACTAAAATAGATTTTTTAAAGAAAGAGGGCAAAATACCCTCCGTTAGAGACGGTTGGCTGTTTTTAATTGAGTTAGCATAATAGACGGTAGAGTTGGGTTCTTATCAGCCTCCGGCGAGCTGGTATCTCCTAACCGCTGTAATAGAAGCCTTGCAATTTTATCTGTGATGGCTCTTAAAATTATCACTCTCAGCTGGCTATTTCCACTTTGTATTCGATGAATGCACTTTTTAGGAGACTTTTCTTGTTCAGAAACTGTAAACTGAATCGAAAAAAAGCGTTGCTTAAAGTTGATAATTGACGTTTCTGAATGTCTAAAGAATGTCTAAAAGCTTCTACTAAAAAGAATCGCAAATTTTCCTTAGAATGTGAATAATCTCAGATTGCTAACGAGTCCACATGCCTGTGCGGACCCAAATTGGAAGAGCCAATCAAACCAGGTCAAAGTTTCAATTTTCATTCTGACGCTGCGGCGGTGGCTGCTGCAGGTGGACGGATTACAGAATACAGAGCTTTCGATTCGAAATTTCCAACTGTTTAGTGAGGCCGAAAAGAAAAACAAAAGTGTGCCAGATTTTTGCGCCATTGTTAAGTTAAACGATAAACGTCAGTAATATTTGGGGTTAGGGTTGCGGGAAATATAGGATTGGGATGAGTTGCAGCTTCGCAGTAAATGAAAAAGAGCAAAAAAAAATCGTTTAAATGATTACCGAACAAGAGGCAAAGAGTAATTAAAAAGCAACGTCCGATGGACGATACCGATCGAAAGCTCCGTGTGAAGCCTGTTTGGGCTGCAATCCGAACCCAATTTGCCGCATCAAAGATTCCTTGTTCGCTAAACTATCGAATAGAAGATGATATATCCATGCTCACATCAATTATATTTCATTTTATCTGTAAATGAAATAAGGACAAAGCAAACATAGCTAACCAAGTTCATCTTGTTTAGTTTAATGCCTCATTCAGACCTTAAGAAAACTAACAAGAGCAAAAGATATGGAGGTAAGACCCTTCGATATTTCGGTCCTGCGATTCAGAGCCAATTTCAATCCTCCAAGCTTCCGCTTCAACTCATCCATGCAACCGGAGACATTATGCATGGCAGGCCACAAGCGGGAGAGAATAGCATCATAGTCTTCATTGTCGAAAAACACAAGCGACGATCGAAGCAGGCGGATTGTTTGGCCATAATTTTTGTAACACAAGTCGAAGCACTTCCTTGCCACTGGATCCGTCGTATTTTCAAGCAACTTACGGGTGTAGGAATGCGTATGGGAGACATTAGCCAATGCCAACTCGACGGAAATCTTGGGAAGGTCCTTCCATTTTACCTTGAAGCTCCGGGGATCGGATTCCAGAGAGGAGACGCAGAGGTTGTAGTAGTTTGTAAGAGACTCTTCGCAGATGTCTTTGATGTTCGCCATACCCGACGAAGAAGAGTTGTCTTCTTCGGCGTAAGATGGCGATGGCGATGGCGTGGATAAGGAAAGGAGGAAGGAGAGGAAGAAGAGAAAAGCAGGAAAGTGGAAGAAAGCCATTGTTTATATTTTTGTGTCGAAGGAAGATCTCTGCTTTGCTCGCATCGAGGAAACTATATATAGCGCGGTAGCGGAAGGGACGTTCAAATTACAAACCCGTGCTGTGGACGTGGCAGAAGGAAAACCCTACGATAGAACCGGTTCAATGAATCTCCTCCGCTGATAGCCTGATACACTGCCAGTAACCCTCCAGTTGGTTTTCCCTTTTGGCGGTTAGAAAGATTTAGGCGGTTACTTGTTCAACTCGGATTTCATGCGAACCTTTTCTTCCTCTCCTCTCTATTAATCCATTCAAATCAGGTCACCTGTCCCTATTTTTCCAATTTCCCAACAAAACCCTCCATTAACTTTATTATTAGAAGAAAAATTAAAAAACAGAGTGTAATTGGAAAAACCTAACCTTTACTGAATTAATTCTTGTCTAAATTAACAAGCTTGGTATCTCCCAATAAAGTAAAATTTTTCATTACTACCTTTACTCCATTCTTGTCTAAATGCACGCTACTGTAAAGTGTTAACAGACAAGAGCACAACTCTGGACTCTCCTTCCTCCTAGTATTGCAACAACAACAGCATAGAACAAATCCAGGGCTTTGTTATATCTTGATGGGTGAGGAAAGCCAGAGTGTGAGTATCCAAACAACACCAATACCGGAGATTGGTTGGCTTCACCTAGTGAGTGCAGAAGATAGAACCACTCAATTTTTTGCTGAATTGCTTCTAACATCTAACTAGGAAGGATCCCATACCAAATCCATGAGAAAGACAAGAAGAACAGTTATGACCCCAAGGTGGTCGCCACCATACCATCACTTCGATCCTGCTTGCAAGCAAATGGAGCAGCCCAAAAAGAAAATGGTGAAGTAGTTCATTTCATTCGCTCATGAAGAGCAGGTGAAAAAAGCCGATAACCCAGAACAGACAGAGAAGTTCATTTCAGAGACAACAAATGATCTGTACCAAGAGGTTGCGAAAGTAGCAGAAGAAGCAACGGATTGCAACGAGAAAGGTTCAACCAAGCAGTTCAACGATGACGAATTCAAACGTTTGTTGTTCATGGACGGTTGCTTTGTTGTCTATTTCATTCATTATGATGTAGGAATATTTGGCCTGACCTCGTAGCACGAGAACACGTGGGCATGACCTGGCATAAGCGTGGCAGCCTGGCCACAACCCGGCGTAACAAGCTCACCGAAGAGCAAGGCCCAGTTCGCCCCAAGCCTGAAGGCGGAGCTCCCCAAGCTCCCCCATGCAAGGGGACCCGAGCTCCCCTTGAGACCCGAGCCCCCCCTAAGGGGCCCCGAGCTCTCCTAAGAAGGAAGCACCCTGGCTTTTGGCTAAGTGTCCCGAGGGAGAAACACCTCGGGGCAGCACCGTCGAGACTCCTATTCGAACTTGCTTAAGGCTCGCCTCCAGTGTGGGCACCTCGGTGTACCTCGGCACCACGGTACAAAGCAAATCTGCCCCAGGTGGTTCGGTGTACGGTAGCTCGACAGATGCAGGGAGATCTACCTGACATCCGTGCCTGCCTGACATCCGTACCTACCGGATCCGGTGCCAGTCCTCGGATCCCTTACTAGGCGGCGTTCTACCTGTCGTCTCTGAAAAGCATGGCACGCCTATCGAGTTCGTACCTTGCAGTAGCAGCATGTAGCGGTAGCCTGCACCTGGCACCCCTGCCCTGGCAGTAACGGCTAGGGCAGTGGCGGTTATGCCTAATGTGACCGAGCTCCGATATAAAAGGACACCAACCCTCACTAAGCAAAGGTATTGAAGCTAGCACTTTCAACACTCTTAACTCTTTGTGTCTTTTTTGAGTTTCCTCAAGAATTCTAACTTAGCATCGGAGTGTTCCCGCCGAAAGAGCTCCCCGGGAACCCTTCACCTTCCTCTTCCTCTCAAGTGTCGTCCATCTCAGCTAGGAGCCAAGTCTCAACCAGCTAGGAGTGCCCAGATTGTGATGCATCATTTGGCGCCGCCTGTGGGAATCGCTTCAAAAGTCCTTCCTCTAACTTCTGTGAAACTTCCCTCAAAGAACTCATCATCATCATGGCTTCCTCCAGCAACTCCGGACGCCGGAACACCCCAGAGGAACAACTCCATCTACCCACCGTCTGCATCAGGCAGTTCACCGTCCCCCTCTCCGTGGACGGGGTACCTAGTTTGAATGTGCCCCTGACAGTGGCACACATGACCGTTCCATTACCCTTTGCCATTGGAACAACCTTCGCTGAACCCACCATCCTCCCTCCGGTGGCCAGCCAAGGTCAGCTCGAAGACCAGATGCAGTGCATGCAAGCCATGCAGGCCCAAATGCAACAATTCCAGTAACTTCAGTTCCACCGACAGCAAGTGCTGCACCAAGTGTCCCAGTGCCAGTATCAGCAACAATTTCCTTCATTCCCTCCCCGACATCCGGCTGCGTAGCCAACCAAGCCTCACCACCGAAGTGAACTTCCTTCCCGCCGAGGAGAGACCTCGGTGGTGTCATCCCATGGAAGGAAGGAAAGACCCCATACCCCTGCCTCGTGGCCTACAGTTAGGTTGGGGGCCTCCCAGCCGGTTAGGCCGGTATCACCTCAGCGCTCGTAGTTCGAATCCCCGCTTACCGAAAACCGGTTCGAAGTGCTGGCCGACGACCTGGAACAAGGTCCCTCTGTTCGTAGTTACCAAAAGCCATTCGAGCATTTCGCTGGGCCCATCGAGCTCAGTAATACCGAGGCCAACAACACCAACGCCGAGCCGACTAACAAGTAGCGAAGGCGTCGCCGAGCTCGCCGAGCTGTCACCCGCGACCTGCCTAAGCTCAGAGGCAAGGTAGAGGTGAGTTCGAGCAACGTAAAAGCTAACCGCTTCTTTCAGTTCCCTCCCCCCTGTCACCAGAGCTCCTTGTTGTCCCCATGCCAAGGGACTTCAAACTCCCCCCGCTGGACAAGTATGATGGGTCATTCGATCCCAATGACCACGTGGACGCCTTTCAGTCCCAGATGCATCTGGCCAGAGCGAACGAGTCTTGCATGTGCGTGGCCTTCTCCACCACTTTCAAAGGAGTAGCCCGCGCTTGGTACCAAACCCTCGCGCCAAGTTTAATAAGGAGCTGGGCACAGTCCGAGGACCCAAGAAAGCCTCCTCAGCATAGTCCAGAGGGAAGGAGAGTCCATCCGAAACTACATCAAGCGATTTAATGATGCTTGCTTGCAGATACCCGACCTAGACCCAGCAATTCGGCTCACTGCGGCCAAGCGGGGCATCACCCACAAGGAGTTCAGATGGCACGTGGTTGTCAACCAACCCAAGACCGTGACAGAGTTCCTTGAACTGGCAGATTGGTTCATAGGGACAGAGGAGGAGATTAACCAAAAGGGCGAGCAAGCCCTTGAAAAAAGAAAAAGGGAACCGGAACCTCCGGCTCCAAGTGATAGCAAGAAGAAGAATGACCAAGCTCGGGGAGCAAAGCCAACTCAGCACAAAGCGGGCCGAGATCCTCATGGCGATCAAGGATGCCCCATATGTGAAGTGGCCACCTCGGCTTAAGGTTGATCCCAATGTTAGGAATAAAAACTTGTATTGTAGTTTTCATAGAGATCATGGCCATAGTACCGAAAACTGTAAGAATCTCCGCGACGAGATAGAAGAACTTATCCGTCGCAGATATCTGAGAAATTTCGTACAGCATAATAATAGAATAAAGTAGGTCGGCACGGGGAGCAGAGTAAGGAAGCTCCTGAATCCAGCAGACAAGCGGAGCGACCGTAGAGGCAGCCTCCCAACGAGAGACCAGTCCGGGGGACCATCCATGTAATTGTTGGAGGACCAATTGTCGCAGTCTGCACCTCGGCAACAGCTCGTTCATCAGCCCGCGAGGCCGCCGGGGAAGAGCTTAACCCCCCAAAGCGGCCAAGGATGGAGGAACCGATCTTCTTCACCGAAGACGATGCGCGAGGAGTCCATTACCCCCATGACGACGCGCTCGTCATAAAAATTAAGATCAACGACTTCGAGGTCAGGCGCGTCCTAGTCGACTCGGGCAGCTCGGCAGATAATCTCTTCAAGGTAGCCTTCGATCAGCTTCAGCTCCGGGAGAGCGACCTGAAGCCCGCAAACACTCCACTCATGGGATTCAGCGGTGAGGAGGTCAGACCTTTAGGGAGAGTCACTGTACCCGTGGAGGTCGGCACCTGGCCTAGTGTGGTAAGGCTCAGCCACGAGTTCCTGGTGGTCGCGACCCCCTCCCCGTACAACGCAATAGTAGGTCGGCCCATCACCCACGCCTTACGAGCAGTAGTCTCCACCTACCATCTGGTGATGAAGTTCCCTATAGACTTCGGAGTTAGAGTGACGCGAGGCGATCAGCTCGAGTCCTGCAAGTGCTACATAGCCGCCCTCAAAGGAAAGGCCAAGATAGTAGACAACCTCGAGCTAGAGCGATCCACGGAGCAGTTCGCGGAGTGAGCCACGCCTACCGAAGAGACCATCCCCATCCCGGCTTCGGCAGAGGACCCAGCTCGGGTACTTCAGATCGGCTCTTCTATTGAGGAACCCCTGCGATCTCAACTGGTGAGTTTCTTACTTGAAAATTTAGATGGTTTTGCATGGTCAGCAGCAGAAATGCCCGGCATAGACCCCGGCATTTTAACTCATAGGCTAAACACTGATCCTGTAGTTAGGCCCGTTAGACAGAAGAAACGCAACTTAGCCCCAGAGAGATGAAGGGCAGTCGACGAGGAGGTCGGGAAGCTCCTTGCAGCCAATTTTATCAGGGAGGTTCATTACCCGAGTTGGGTGGTCAACCCCGTTCTGGTGAAAAAGGCCAACGGTAAATGGCACATGTGCGTCGACTACACCGACCTGAACTGAGGTTGCCCAAAGGACTGCTTCCCACTTCCTAGGATCGACCGTCTAGTGGACGCGACCTCGGGACACAAGTTGCTGAGCTTCCTGGATGCCTATTCGGGCTACAACCAGATCAGGATGGACCTAGATGATGAAGAGAAAACTGC